GGCGCAGATGATTCTCGCCATGTCTGTGGCACACAAGGAACCCGAGAAACCAAGCCCAACAGCGGAGCCGCCATCACTGGCGACTTTCCCCTGTTGTTGGGTGGTGCAGAAACATGGCGGCAGCACACATACACATACATAACAAGCTGCTGTGGATGCAACCACCCCAAACTTGCACAGCTATATATGTATGTTATCACAATCGACCGCATTATCCTCGTCATGTACGTATCTAATCTCCATCTCAGCTTGGCGGCAGGAATAAACACAAGAACACGCTACTCCCTCCTGGACCTCGTGTTTACAAGCAGCAGCAGCGATAGTAGTGGGGACCACGCTGTGCTATTGCACGACTAATCCCTTCAGTCGTCCTCGAAGATGTCATCTTGCCAGCCATGGCCTTCTTGCCCCCCTGCTGCTGCTTCACCCAGAAGCGGCATTCTGGTGAGCTTAACTTCACGGCGGGCCGCTGTATTGGGTTGTTATTGACGCATGCACCACGTCATCATCAATAGCAGGAATGGGCTCCAGCGTTGCCACAGTTGCTACTGCCATCAACTTTCATACAGGAACCTGCTCCCGCTGTCTGCAGTCACCATTATTGCTACCATCGCCGCAACTGCCATCGCCATCTCCCAGCACGGGCAAAGCCTCCATGCTACCCACAATCGCTGCTGTCTGGCCACTCTGATTGGCAATACTACATACCACCAGCCACAGCTGCTGCAGCCCAGCTTCTTCAACAGCAGCAGCCGCCATCGATGCCGCCCCTGCAGCATTGTGGTGAATTGTCGTCGTCTGTCCCTCCAGGTCCATTTGCTGGTCCCCCTGACATGAAGCTGCGACGTAGCGAGTGTACAGGACTGAGGCTCGGCAGGACTGCAGCATCACAGCAGCCATTATCCGTGACGCCTTCCTTGAAATTTCCGCCACATAGCTGCAGCAGCACAGCAACCAGCAGACGGGTTTGGGATGTTGGCTTGTGAATCTGCGTGCAGCGGATGGGCGGTTGCAAGGAAACTGCTTAGGGACGATGTTGAGTTGTTGGCCCTGTAAGCTGAGCCAGCCCTGCATTGTTAAAACTCAAGTGCATGACTCAAACATGTTCGTAATGTATCGCACACTTACGCACACACACTCATGCAGAGGCATAGCCCACCTTGTACAATGCGTGCATGCATGTGCATGTGTACGTGTTCCAACCCGCAACTCGCTTGGATTCATATTTAGCGACCTGGATCTGCATTCCTAAGTTCCCTATGCGTGCGCATGCATGTGTGTAAAAGGTGTGCGTACCAATTGTAATCTGTCAGCCAGGTCGTACGGAATCCGCTGCACTGCACCGCAGCAACTCTTCCACACGCCGGAACTGCGCTGCAGACAGAACCTGCTCCGCCATCTCCCGGCCCTCGGTGCCCAGCACGGCCATGACAAGCCCTGTAGCCAGCAAAGTGTACTCCAGCTGCCATGCGTCAGCCGCGCTACCCCACTGCACACATGTAAGGAAGGAAGGAATCAGCTTGACGAGCAAACCCACACGTGGGCATACCTGGACGAAGCAAGGCAAGCAAGCAACCAATCAACCATTACCGCTCTCTGCTGCAGCAGCTGACAATAAGGCGTTCATTACAAACTGCACACATACACGGAACTGCATACGTTCAGGTACTTCGCTTAGCTAGCCCGCAGCACATACACCGCAGCAGCTAGCTACATAAGAACGTACGTCTGCACACGTACTGTTGTACACCGCAAATATATCAGCCTCAAATGACTCTCACGCACCCCCTTGGGATAGTGGTTTGACATCTTGCGCCTCGATGGCGACGTCCAACCGCGTCTCCCTGTCCCACTGCTGCTGTTGCTGCTGCCCATCGTGCCCTCCATCACCAGCCCTGATGGCAATACGGCCGACGATGTTGACGCAAGCGCGTCACGCAGCTTAACTGTTGCCAGCCCAAAGTGCTGGATTGTGAGCTCATCCGTCGGTAACGCGCGCAGTAGGATCATCACACGACCGGCGTCCTGAATCGTTAAATCCAGAGAGTCATCCAATAGAACCGGCCACAGCACCTGTAAACATGCATGTATGCATCATGTACGTCACGAATATGCCGGCAGGCAATATCATCGGTGTACGTGTGCAATGCATATGTGTATGCACTAGCACATACACCAAACAAGCGACCTGCTTCATCACACGCGCACTGCTCAGCACCTGCTCCACATCGGCTGCCTCCGGCCGCCAGCCCATCACCACCAGCGCCCAAAGCGATGCAAGCTGTTGCAGTGGGCCACATGCCGTTGCGCCAACATCAGGGGTTTGGCGGCTGTAGCTGCTGCTGCTGCTGCCGCCAGAGACTGCTGTTGACGATGAAACGCCATTGCTCGGGTCCCCTGCCGCCAGACCGCAGAGGCTGAGGCTGCTGTGCAACGATGGGTGCCGATGCTGCTGCTTGGCTTCTTCATTCCTGTCCTCTGCATCCACTCTTGGTGATGATAATGATGACTGCCATTGCGATGACGGTGATGATGGTGATGGTGTTCCGGTAGTATCCGGCGCCCCGAGAGGCTCATGCACGCCTCCTGCTGCTGACGTGTGCCGGCTAAGCCCAGCAGCCGACACTAGGCGAGCAAGTGTCTGGTGGTGCGTGCGTGCATACATACATACAGAAAACGAACAGGCAGAAAATAAACTCACACCAAATGCTTGTTCGCTCAGATGCACATGCATGCATACACACATTGGCAGTCGGGAGCACACAAGACTAACCGACTTGTGCTGTGTGCTCCCGACCCTTGCGCTGTGTTTCGGCTTCGACCCCCGGCTCTAGCGGCCCACAGTGTAATCAACGTCATACATGCATGCATACATACATACATACATACATACATGCATACATACATACATACATACATACATACATACATACATATACGTCTGCATTAACGCATCGCCGCCTTGGCTTGCATGTCAGGAGGATAGATGCACGGAGCACCAACGAACAGTAGTTACGGTAGTACGTACATTGATAGTTGTACAACTGCTACACGCTCAGCAGTACAGCCAGCTGTAGTACGGGCCCTTCAACCACTTGTCTGCATGCAGCATGACATGTATATATACTGTATATATACATTATATGTACCTGCGGCCCTGGTAAATGTTGAATTGCGGCCAACAATTCAAGCAACTCCGAAACCTCCCCATGACGCATGTACGGCAGCTGCGGCGATACGGCAAGCAGGATGGAATCCACCAGGTTGACTCCCGGATAAAACCCCATCCGAATGTACGACGACAATATGGAAATGACGTGGCGCGGCTCCAGGAAGGACGACCAGTGCCACTTCGTGCGACACTGCTGCTCCTGTTCCAACCGTCCCGACTGTTCCGGACTCCTCCGCAATTGGAGGCGATATGAATGGCCCTCCCTGCTGGTGCTGCTGGTGCTGCTGGTGCTGCTGGTGCTGGTAGAAGTGGCAGTAGTGGCAATGTCGCCAATTAACATCATGACATCATCAACTCGCGGTGCGGAGAGATTGTGGGAGGAGATCTCCTGGCAAATCTGGATGCATCGATCCGTCGATGTACGGGGCCCCGGCACAGCACAGCAGGTACGGCCAGCAGCCGTGGGTCCATGCGTCCATTCGCACACACACACGGGCGCGCGTGCGTACAGCGGAAAGGGGACAAGGGAGAATAGTTTGCGGAAGCCAAATTAGCAGCGCTGAGCACTATTGTCTTCATACCGTATAACCAGCCTATCTATCCACCTGCTGTACTGCTTAATGGATAATGTACTCATGCACACGTGCACAACACTACAAACGCGTCAGCGCCTGCTGCACAAGAGATGCTTTCGTGGCCTACAAATCCCAATATTACATACGGTCGTACACACTGCCTACGCTTGTAAAGGGTTGTTATACCTGCATCCCGACTGCCTGGAGGAGCTCCGGAACCACCACCGATTTGTGATCAGAGTCGGCAAACGCCTGAGGGAGGGAACGAACGGCGGGAGCTTCTTATAGAAAAGAGTTGAACGTAATCTACTCATGTTCAAGCTGCGTATCGTACATACATGATTTGTAGGTGTTCATAGATAATAGCTGGGCAGCAACAACGCGGTCCCGTCTTGTTGTTGCACACCAGCAAGATCATGGAACACGTGTGCACATGGGCGCCCACGCAGCTGACCACCCACGTTGCGTACACCGCTACCATCACAACCAGCACGTACCCAGCGTACTACCGACCAGGCCGACCAGCTGCCCACGCAGCCCTCTTTCCCCAGCTTAGGGATTTTAGGTTCGACTCCCCCACGCAGCGCGCATATCTACCGACCCATCCAGTCATTCATCATCACAATCACGTAAACAAGTCCTAAGTCCAGCCACCCACCCTAAGCAGCTCTGCACAGTCTTTGGGCCGAGTGACAGCCCCCACGTGGCGGCCCCGGATGCGCTTGGCCACGTGACCTCCCACGGCGTCCATCATGCGAGCCACAGAGCCTGCATGTATGGAACGACGGCAGTTAGTTGCAATTAGACCGTTAGACCCTACAGGTACGTAGGGTCTGCAGGCGGCGGCCAGCAGAGCGCGCGAGGCTGCCGCCACCTCACGCACCGTCCAGACGAGACAGACCCATATCCGCATAAGCGCGGACCACCTTGAGGAGCTCAGCCGGCTCGAAGGGAGAATGAAGACTTGAGCGGTTGGAAAGTTGCCGGTAGACCTCGTGAGCGACCGCTTCGGCCAGCTGAGCAGTGGCCGGGGACCTGCTGCGTGCGCACGTAGGTATGTAGGTTTATATGTACCGAATGGAGTTGTATGTCTTGTAACGCATGCATGCATGTATGTATGTATCGTAGTAGTAGTACAATCTGTGGGACCGTATGTAACAGAAGGGGCATGAAGATTGAGCGACCCATGTGTTGTTGCAAGAGAATTCTTGTTGTCATGACGGCTCAGTATGTAACAAGAACAGTCGCATATATCTGTATCTTCATGCAAACAGTTTGATTGTTTCCAGGGCTGCGAGTGCTGCGGATAGCAACAGCAGTGACAGCAGCAAGCTTAGAGTTATCTCTGCCACTCACTGCACGAACGAACACCCAGCTAATCACGTGCTCACACTTCATGTACGGCTCACTTGTGGCTCATGGCGGATAATGCCCACGCCACGTCAGCCAGCTCAACCGCCGTCACAGGCTTCGAGCTGCCGTACGATCGGATCAGCTCCGCGGCACGGCACGCCAACTTCTCAAATCCCGTACCCGCTGCCACACCGTCCTGCCGCTGATGCTGCTGGCTCCTACTGCTGCTGCTGCTGCTAGAGCTACCAAAGCCGCTTGCCGCCCCCACAACCAGCTGCTGCGGCTGCGGCTGCTGAGGCTTCCGTTGCAGTCCTTCTTCTTCTTGTCCTCCTCCTCCCTCCGCTGGGAGCACTGCTGCTTGCGACTGGGTGCCGGTGCGGCCCGCCGCGCTCCCAACAACGTGGTGCACAGCCGCATAGCCCCACAGCAGCGACGCTAGCACTGAGAACTCGCCCTCTTGGAATCCACCGCTCTCCAGCGCCGATACGGTTTCGGAGCTGTCCAGCCAGTCCCGCACCTCCGCCGCAAGTGCCCCCGCCACCGCCTCTACCTCCGAAACCAAATGATCTGGATAACAAAACTGATCCTCTGGGCGGCCCCAGCACCTGCCGTACTCTCCAAGCACGCTGGCCAGGCTCCACAGTACGGACGCCATGTTCTCCAGGCTGTAGCCCTCCAGGCGGCTGAGGCACAGGCTGTGCTGTAGCAGCTTGATGGTTCGCAACAGGTCATTTGGGTCCGTGCGGGCACGTGAAGCAGGATCCAACGCCCATCCAGCAGCCCTTGCCGTACACACATACACACACGTATATTCATGTACACGCGCGCGCATGGAGGAATATAGTGGAAACGGGAGCTGGTGCGGGGCGGATGCTGTAGAACAGCGTCCAGCATACGTAATGGCCCCCTTGCTTTCCCGCAGTCCTTAATTCTCATGCAAGCAGTCCTTTCCTGTTGAGCTCGCACGTGTCCTCCTCCGTGCGTTGCCAGAGACCGGCCACCTAGGCACACCAAGGCCTGACCAGGTGTGGCCGGCACATCATAGTACTCAATACACAGGGACTGTTTTAATGCATGCACGCCCGTTAAGGGACTTACTTGCGTGATGCCACCACCACCACGTGGGCCGGGAGCACCGCTCCTCCTAGGGTCGCTCCGAAATCGCTGAAACCCCAGGAACGACCGCCCTTCTCCACGGCAGCAGTCACGCCTGACGCGCCCGCTGCTCTCGCCGCCGCCCCAAGGGGCCCTTCCTCGTTGGCGCCGTCAGCATCGCCGCTGCCGTAGCCCTCAGCCGACAGGGCCTCCTCAAGGTCCTGCAACCAGTGCAGTGGAGGCATCGCCTGTTTTAGAAGGTCTGTCTGTCTGTCTGTCTGTCTGTGAGTGTGTGCGCATGTACACGTACTGCACACAGCGGTGCATAGCACACTAGATAGGGCCCACTCAGACCCTGGCAGCTGGCTGAGGTAGGAGTGGAACACAGTCACGAGCGCCGCCGTGTGTCCGGAATGAAGACAAGCAGACGGCCGCAGTCGACCGGGAAAGTAACCCTCAGCTACGCCATGCGCATTGTCCGGTAGTCCTGTAGCGCTTGCATGCCGTTCTTGCGAGCCTAGATCATGTATATACGACATACGGACAAGCGAGTGAACTCCAGTTGTACAGTTGCACTGGGAGGGGTAATGATTCCCGCCTCCAGAAGCGGACCCCGTCCGATACATGAGCATCTGCCTAACGAGCCGCGCCGTGGGGTCCCTATCACGACCCTGTCCGTCCCCATGTCCGTCCGCCCGTTGCATTCTCTACCAGGCTTCCCGCCACTTGTTGATTTACACTTACAGTCGGGACCACGTACCTGCCACAGGTCCGAAGCCGTAAGTGCTTCTACAATTCCGTGAAAGCGTGATGCCGAGATTGAGATCACGCGGATCTGTGGCAGCGTCGGTGGCGGCGGCAGTGACGGCGACGACCCCGTTGTCGCGGATGCCGCCGCCGCAAGGGCTGCGGCTGAGCCAACTACCCCTTCCGCAGGAGAGGTGCTAGCTGGCGCGCGACGATCGCTAACGGCCTCCTTCGTCGGGCGAGTGGGCCTGCCCCAGAAGAAGGAATGTTCGTCCGCCTTCACACATGTACGGCGTCAGGTGTATACGAATTTTATGCATGGGAAAAGCAGGAGGGGGAATGCGGGTGTATAAAATAGGGCCGATTTGAATATGTGCAGTTGTGTCCTGCTATCGGGAAGGGTGATGCTAGAGAACAGCTGTTAATTGAAATTCATGGGAGTAAGGGCATACTCAATGCGCCTGCCCTTTTTAATTCTGTATTGGAGCGTCGTAACCACTCCCTTCGCGTCACCAACCCCGGCATCATGACCCTGCCCTGTTTTCCCATGAATCCCTGTTCCCCGCCAAGTGTATCTACGCTGTTATGATGCACTGGCATCGACCCCTTGATACCTCGAGGACTTGCATCCATCGGGAGCTTGGCTGAAACGCTCGGCCGACCAGCAGCTGCGCCGCATGCCGGGTTCGGAAAGCAGCATGTGCAACAAGAGTGCTCCAGCTTCCAGAACATGGATAGTTCGAGTTCGCTCGTTTGGAATTGCTTGGCCTGTATCGGCTAGGGCTTAGCATGGATGCATCGGCCTTATCAAACCTTGAAGATTAGCATGTATAAGACGATCTTTTGTAATAACGAGACGTTATAATTAACAATATGGTGCAATAGGCTGAGACAGGTGATTCAACTAGTCAGCCGAAACGCACAAGTTCAAGAGTGTTAAGGAGCTTAGTCAGTCGCTTGAGATGTAACCATTCAATACATCGTGTCGTTGCTTTCCATAATAGCTTATTCGGCAATCACTTCTGATGCCGTAAACGGAGGGATAGCAGCCATCACAATACAGCAACTTTAATGAAGATAGATCATGTTACCTAGCTAAAGCTCCGCTTGTTTAAATCAGGCAGCTTTGATAATAGGGCTGAAGCGCAGAATCGTACGCGGGCTAACCGCTAACAGCCTCTAATGCTCGCGGGTCGCGGCAGAGTTGGCAAGTCCGCGCAATAAGACACCAGATCAGGATTGGCTGCGGCATGTTTATATACTGCTTGCGTCTCTATTATTCCTCTCTCCTTGTGTAACGATATGAGCGAGTGATGTGTTCACTGAGATGCGATTGTTACAGTGGACCCCGAACGGGTCGAGTGCAGCGCCCATAGGAGCGCCTCCCGCACAACACTGTGGGCCTTATTCAAAAAGAACTCGGCCAGGCCGTACTAACTTCACTGGACACACGGCCTCAGTTAGTACGCTTAAACAGAAAATTGAGGCTCCGACGTGCGCCCTCAAACTTCGTCATTGTATATCGGTAAACGGCAAACAACCATGTCTGCGTCATTGACATATAAGAAAGGGTGATTGTGAGGTACATGATCCCAATGTTTTGGCAAGTAGTCCCGTGCCGCAAAAGCAGTTAAACGGGCCCAAAAGTCAGAGATAACCTCGTAAGTAATGCGGTTAAGCGATGGCGTTGATATAGGCATGTTGGTCTGGAGACCTTCCCTAAACAACAAACGGCGACCGAGATTGAGTGAGCTGATGGCCGCAAGGCATACAACCTCCCATACACACGCACAAATCCAGGTTGGTGGAATGCCCAACCACAGGTTAGCCCGGTTGAAAAGGTCAGGGAACTGAAGTTCGTTTTGCAGAGCTTCACGAAGAGCCAACGCGACAGTACAATCCCAGAAATGATGCCGACGATCCCCACAAAGCATGCGTACACCACAGGGGCACATAGCAGCCTGTATACCTCTTTGACGTTGCGCCCTATGCATAGGAAAGGCAGGGAAACCATCAAGAGCCAGCCTCCAAAGGGCTTCTTTATGCTCGTTATCCCACCGAAGTCTCCACATGCGCGTTCACTGAAGGACTCTTATCTCTAACAGTTGGGACGATAAAACTCCGACACAAAGCTATTTTCCTGTAAGCTCAGTCATCTTCCCCACCAGCTTTTTACATGGAGTGCTATTTGTGCAGCACAAATTGCAGTAGCTCTAAGGGTTCATTGCAGCAGCTGCAATTAGAACGGTTTCAGGGTGGTCTTACTGCAGCCAGTCTTAGTCAAACGTATACACGGCGATGATAAGCAGCCTTCTACTGTGCAATTTGTGATCAACAGTTTTCGGCACGATTTCGCGTGACGGAGGCTAGCCGGCTACATACGCTCCTCTTATGTCAGCTACGTTACACGGAGAGTAAAGGATAAGGCACACTCCTGTCTATTCACGCCCGCCAGGGTCGGTGCAGCCCACGAAAGACACGAAAGATACGGCCGGCCGTATATATCACGCGCCAATCAAGTACCGATAAAAGACGACCACCATGCCCCCATGCACTGCGGTCTGCACCCGTGGCATAGGCCAGCACCGGACAGCAACGCAAGGCTGCCAACCAGTCACATCCACACCACGTTTTCCGCGCAAGCACACTTGGCGTTATCCTGCACTGAAGACCAGCGGCACGAGCAGTTGCCCGTCTAGGTAAGTTCCTTACATGGAAGCAGATCCGGACACATGGAGTCGTCATGCCGCAAACCCACACGGAGGATCTTGCAACCTTATCCTATGCCAAGCTCTCCTTAGCTTGCCTAATCGCGTGGTCCAGGACCCTACCGCACCTCCCAACCCCCCAAGACCCAGATACGATTTCCCAAAGCCTCACAGACGCACCCCGTGCTCAGAAGATTCGACGTACAGCAAATGTACGGCTACTACTCGAACGACAAACGGACCGCTCACAGGCACTCGATGATACGCACCTGGGACCATCCACACGATGGATGGGATGCACGGCACGAAAAGCAGGATGATGATGTCAACACCCATCCCAGAACTAAGCCGCTCTGCAGAAGCCACACTCTCTTAACAAATAAACAAAGGAAAAGCCTTCTTGCAGTACCCGCCATGAGGCGGCATACTCGCCAGCACGGAGAGACATACGCGCTCACCAGCAACGCGCGCAGCACTGCGACCATCCTACCCTGCACCCCACTGGCCCTGCACGGGCGCTGATGTATGATGGAGTCCCTTTGGACTCGGGAAAACATACTGATTCCAAAGAGGGGGAAGGAGGAGCGAGACGAGGAAAAAAGAAGTTTAAATAAGACGCTGAGGAGATGCGGTCTCTAGACACGCGATAAGACCTAAAACCTTAACACCACGTTAACAATTGCCCTAGGAAACACGTCGTACGTGTGGGCGGATTTCCAACCCGATGGCTTCTCGAGCTTCCGGCCTCTTCTGTAGTTCGGCACGCACTCAGCACTTTTACGATCCCCGAACCGCCTCTCTTAACAACGAACCAGCCTTCAGGGCCTTACACAACGCCCTTTTGCGTCATTCCCGTGCCCTCCCTTTCAAAAGATTGCCCGCACCCCAATCGGCGCGACAGATCACGGCGCAGCAACAGCAACGATGGCGGCCTCCCTCGAGCCACACGGGGCCTTCGCTTGTTCACCTTTAGAGTGAGGGAAAAGCCGGCTGGCTGCTTCTCCTTTAACTATGTCCAAAACCCGGATTTCTTAGATTATGATTATGAGGTTTTTTAATTATTAAAACTCCGGCAGGAAGAAGCGGTGAGATAAAGCCTGTCCGACGCTAAGGCGGCCACGGTTGTACTGGTCGCGCTTGGTGATCAGCTTGCAGGCCAGGTCCCAGCCAGCCTCGTTGTTGCGGTCCAGGAGAGAGAAGTCGTATTTCTGACCCTGCGTGCATGAAAGCATACGAACAGTACACATGCACGGTAGGCAGGATGCAGTTCACGTACTGCAGGAAAGGCACGAGGACAGGAATTTAACGGTGGTCATGCTGGATAAACCAATCCGGATTTACCTTAGGGTCTTGTTCGGGTCCGCGCGCGCACGTGGACGGAACTTCCGGCGAGCAAGTACAGTGGACATTCCACTCAAAGCCATCCAGGTACGCGGCCCGCTTACTTTGCTAAAGCGTGGCAAACGCAAGCGGTCCATCGCGTTCCGACAGCAATCCACTAAATAACCTCAGTAACCGCCCGTCGCTCCTCATTGTATGGTTTAACGTAATTGCTATTCGCAAGGATCTATGTCTATATAGGACTGGCCCCGTATGGTATGGTATGCGGAATCCATTTCAGTTTCTCTGCCCTTCGTTTCGCTCACCCTGTACATGCGCCAGCGGTTAAGGTCGTTGTCGTACTGCCGAAGCTCTGTGTTGAAGAGGCGAATGTTGGCCACCGGACGCAGCTCCGGAACACACATCTGCATCAGCAGTACACCTGCAGTGTACGAATCAAACAGATCCGGCCTACCGTACACCCAGGCGAATGGCGATAGGAGGGCGGCCATGAAAGGCGCCGGCGCACGCGGGAAGCCTGCGTGGGTGCATGCAAAGGCCCGGGCCCGGGCCGAGGGTGTTTGTTAGGGCCGAGGAGGGGAGAGAAAACCCAACAAAACAAACCATCTTCACGGGGGTTACGGCGCGAGGAACCCACTTTGCGGCATGACCAGCTCCTCCGGGGGGCTGTACCGCGGATCCAGCATGCCGTACAGCGGGTTGAAATTGATGCCCGTACACATATCCACGGCAGCCCCAAAGTCGATAATCTTCACCTGCAGTGTATACGGCGGCAAAACACCGAACGCAACACCGTTATCGTACACGTGTACAACACCAACACGGCGCCTAATCCTTAGAATAAAGTTTTACGTGAGTCAACGACAGACAACGCAACATGCCATCCTAGAAAGCGGTTGAAACGTCGGTGGCCGCGGCGGCCCGGCAAGTGTGCCAACACAGGCAGACACGCATCCACCTTGGAAAACCGTCCGCGCTCCTCATCGTACTGCTCCATTATACAACCCTGCACTTACCACCGTACCGCCCCCCCATCCCCCACCCCCCTCCACCCGGGGGGCACCGGCCGCACCTGTCCATCCACGGTGACCAGCAGGTTCTCCGGCTTGATGTCCCGGTGTACGATACCCAGTCGGTGCAGCCGCCGTAGTCCCGTGAGGACCTGCCGCATGACGCCCTTGATCACCTGGAGCGGTTTTCAGGAGGCGTTACGGAATTAGACTGGTTCTTAAGGGTTAAGGAATTGAAATTTTGAGGCTTTCTTAAAGGGTTTACGAGAAGACGGAACTTTACCGTGCGCACGCGACACGACCACTTGAGTGCAGGAGGGCACTGGGGGCGAGGGGAGGCGCGTGGAGGAGTGTGGGGAAGGCGGTTGGGGAACCTGTGAGGAAAGGCCCTCTCTCTCCCCCTCTCCACACACACAAAAGTACAGACCTGCCGACGCTCCCCCTCACCCCAAGTAACGCGCTGCGTACCAAGGCCCACCATCCCCCCCCACGCACGCATGCACACACGCACGCAACCGAATCCCATCCCACGACCCCTCTACCACGTACGTACGTACGTTGATATCCCGCTTCTCCTGCGGCGTGTTCTCCGAGATCTTCTTTCCCGCCATCATGAACTCCTCCAAACAGGACGGGAAGGGACCCAGCTTGCCGTCCAGCGCGTCACCAAGGGTGGCATCGCTCTCGAACTTCCACACCAGCCACTGGCTGCCCTTGGTGAAGGCGCCCTCGGCTGTGTCTGATGGCGGGGGCGATGGTGGGTGCAAGTAATTTGGGGCTTTCTGAACAGAGGTCAGGACTACAGGCAGTTTTAACGAGGTAGGTAGGTAGGCAGGTAGGTAGGTAGGTGGGGGAAAGCCCTATCCCCGAGGACTGCAGCACCTTCAACTGACCCGCCTCCCACCTCCCTGCCCGCCTCCCTCCCCCCCTCCCGACCTGCCCGCCTCCCTCATCCCCCTCCCTGCTCACTGCTGGTGAAGTAGCCCAGGTACTCCGCACACGAGGCGGCTGCGATGGGGTTGCGCTTAATCTTGGCGCACATGTACGCTTCCACCATACCCGTCTCCGCACTGCCCTTGGCCAGAGTGCCCGTCTTCAGGAAATCCGAGCTGCGGGATCCAGAGACGTACGGAGACACATCCACATACTTACGGACACACAAATCCATACATCTACTATTTAGACGAGTGATATGTTTGTGAATGTACCTATATATACATACATCCGTGCGCACTGTACCCACAGCAAAGACATCTTCAGTTACATGTTGATAGTTCATTCGTCGATCGCGTCGTCGGACCACGGACACATGCACGGCTATCGTTACAGCAAGACCACGCCCCCAGGTCGTCCTCCCTAGCTCTTCTTTCCACTTGCTTACTGAAAAGTCCTTTCCGACGCACGATGGTGCCGGTGCTGGGCCCGGGGCTGCTGTGGCTACTGCTGCACCGCAGCGATTGCTATTTCACCTGTTACGGCACCTACTGGCCCCCTTTCCCCGTTTCTCACTAGTTGGTGTCACCCATTGAAACAATAGCACAGCCGAAGATTGATGGACGTTCTCCATTCCCCTCCCCCCACGTGTATTGGGTACGGCATTTGCTGCTGCTCTAGCGACCCTCCTCCCCCAAAAGCCGACCGACTTCCTGCCGCATTGCCTTGCTTTCGCCAGGTCAGGTCAGGTCATAGTGGCCGCTGTTCACGGGACATACTTCCCATCCCGCCAAGAGGAATCTCTCCTCTGATCTGCTCTTATGCCCCCTAACTACCCCCCTAACTGCCCCCTTAGCTTCCCTCCTCCCTCCCGCCGACGTACCGGACTCCCTGGCGGTCCATGTTGACTCGCTTGAGCACCACTCGTCGCTTCTTCTGTTCTGCGGTGAGCTTGCTGCGAGTGGTGACGCTTGAATCCTCAGCCTGGGACAGAGAGGGAGATATGCACCCACGCGCGGGGGAGAGCGATGGAGAGGAGAGGAGGGAAACGGACATCGCAGAATAGAAAGAGGAAAAAAGGGAGAACAAGGTTAGGGGAGGCGAGGCAAGCGGGGGAGGAAACTTGATACAGGCCAAATGCAAGTAGCAATGGATGGTAGCTTTCGAAAGGGGACTCGACGACGGTGCCCGAGAGCGCAGTCGCATCAGAACGGCCTGTTCGAAAAAATAACCAAGATCGGCTCCGCTTTGTCCAGCCCAGCCTAGCGTATAGCCCAGGCCAGCAGTCCACTATCCACAGTTATTCCCCCGGCACCGGCGGAACCCCCCGGCACCGGCATTCCCTCTCAGCCCTTTCACCCCCATAGATACAAGGCAGGGAGGCTGACTCAGTGACTTATGCGCGGCCCTTATCAAGCGCTCTTCACCACGCTGTCCGGCCAGTCGGCGTTTCGGAGGAGCCCTCCTATCACCAGGCTCTCACCGTCAAGCGCAGGCCCTCAAACGTGATACCGAAGTTGCCACCTCCCAGCTTGTCACGCAACTGGAAATCCTCGCTGCTCCAGCGGCTGTTCCTGCCATCCGCCAGCGGAGCGCCCACGTAAAAGTCCCAGATGTTCCACAGGGGGTTGGGTTTTGAGAAAAGAGTGTAGTACAGGGCCTGCAGTGCACACGCGTAATCACGAGGCGGGGGCGGGGGGAATGATGGCGAAACGGCAGGTGGTACTGTGCAGACCGCGGGCTGCATTTTTGCGCCGGGCGACATTAAAGAGGCGCCACGGGGCATGGGAAGGAAGCTTGCCAGGAGCAGCAGAAAGGCCGCGCGTGATGTAAGTTAACGCTTGGCGCGGGGCTTCCGCTTAATAGAGACGTCCAAAATGAAAAGGGGCGACACGAGGGGGACGATGGAGCAATAGTGGCTTACCGTGAGCCGGCCAAGGCCCGGGAGTGTGGGTGATAAGGTGGCGAGCGCCGCGAGATCACCGCCGATGGTGGAAACTGCTGGTTGCAGTGGTGCTGGTGCCGCCGCTGCTGCCGCTGTGACAACGCTTTGCACCGCATCCGCAATGCTCGCAAGCTCTGGTCCTGTGGCTTGCACGGAGACGACCGGTCGGATCGATAATCCATTCTCTCTCTTAAGTTTGAAACTACAAGGCTTGAATTGCTGAGAGTGCTGTGAGGCCCGGCGAAGGCCCGACCGCGAGGGAAGTTGATGCTGCATATCAGGCAGGTGGACTGGCAGATCAGACGGCCTAAAGTGAATGATTTGTGATGGATTTGTGAGAAGACTAAGATCCAAAAATGCCACGGGTTAGAGAGTGACGATTGACGGGTCAAGCCTAGCCAGGACGACTGGCTCGGAGCTCAGGCTGGCTCCACGCCTCCTAACAGTCACAGGAATCTCCTAATCCGACTGCAGCTAACAGCTACGAGTGACCAGCAGAGTCCAACATTGTGGACATTCGAGTAATTTTGGACGGGCTCTCTGTTTGGGCCCTAGAAACATCCGTACACATGACATCAACATTCCTTTCTCGACGCTGCAACTCAAATTTATTGTATCGTAAGCATTCATACTAAATTGTTTGCCGAAATACCTTAACCAGCAACGCAATGGCTTGCATAAGCAACCAGAAATTTCAATGGCTAAAGTGTCGGCATGAACGCACGCTTGTTTGTCGGCAGTGCTGTGGTTGTTACGGAATCCCTGTAGCATATCTCAGAAGAATACAATTACCCAGCGAGTTAACTGCATGCTGACCCATGGAGCGTGCGTTCGCAAAACTTGAACTGTTGAGAGGCCGTATACGTCATGAGCATTCGTGTTAATTTTCAGCACAAAATTTAGGTTCAAGTTTGCCAAAAAATGTCGAGTACTGTTCCGTTGCTGTCCACGAAAATTTTGTGTACGGCTTTGCCAAGCTTACAAGACGGGAAAATCAAATATTATGTCTCTTCCCTTAAAGCATTAAAGTGTGCTTTGTATTTTAATTATTTCTGTTGACTTAAATTACGCTAGGCCTCGTCCTTGCCTGAAGCTTTCGGCGGCCGCCTTTACTACTATGCTCATGCATTTCGCTGCAAAGCGGCTTCTGCCGCAGACATTGGTGACTGCCCCGATACGTCGGACGTTGGTCGCTAGGCCTGTGGCACCGTGCTCTTGGTCCAAGCGCGACGAGGTCCTATCCAACTGGGACGCGCTGCGGGCCAACCCGAACGAATGGTGCGTGCTCAGAACTGCATACTGGCATCGTATGCTACTTGCCGGAAACCTTAATCGTGGACTTGACGTTGGTAATCCGAAGATTTGGTGCTTTCGGAGTGTGTCGGCTTGGTTGACGCGAGCCAAGAGGTTTAGCCGCACACCTCGATCACATAAGCATAAAGCATTTCCGCTCTTCCCAACAGGTATGACAACCGCAAACGTAAGACCAACCCGAAAGCGCCCGACTTCGTCCGCAAGGATGACCGTTCCGTGGCTATTTGGATCGACGGTAAGTTCTAGTGTCGGCGAGGCAGCTTCTGGCTTTTCATCGTAGCAACGGCACATTTCGGTCTCGGGATGCTTTGCCTGGGTATGGGTATGGTGGCAGACATGAGCTGGTTCGAGACGAGGCAGTGTCATCGACCGAGCAGTGATCAATTCTCCGTTGCGTTTTAATAAGCGTTGGTCCTAATGCTCCATCTTTGTTTGCTCTGCCCAATTTGGCAGGTCGCGACACCCCTGGGTGGTACGAGGAGTTCTTGGACGAGCTCGATTCTCGGCAGGGTGGCCAGCAACGTGGCGATCGTTTCGGCGGAGACCGGCCCGGCGGCGATCGCAACGACCGTCGCGCTGCTGAGATGGCCAACTGGGAGTCATTACGCAACAACCCAGAAGAGTGGTGAGCTACTGCCTCGTCCCTGTATGCAGCATAGTCCACGCAAGTTAACTCCGTGGAATTGCGGGAACCCTCAGGCGTCTATGTTTGAAGTCTGTTGGCAAATGGAGATAAGGGTTGGTTGCGTGCTGAGATTTGGCGGTGGCGTAGTTGCATATGACCGTTACCTGCCTGTCTTACACTCTTCGCTGCAATATAGCTCCGTCGTTTAATGACGTGGATACAACGTCATTTGCAGCGCCGCCGTCGGAAAAGTGCTGATGGTTAATGCCAAGCTCCAATGCATAAACCCTGCTGTACCACGTAGGTTTGACAACCGTAGCCGCAAGACTAACCCGCGGGCGCCTGACTTTCGGCGTAAGGACGACCGGGCTGTGGCTCTCTGGATCGACAGTGAGTATCACTTGCGGGGTTGTTGGTGGACGGGAGGTCCCCGTGGAAGGCCAGGTGACTTTTGGCGAGAAGGTGACGCGTGTGTGGCAAATCCCTGCAATACATGGATGTGCTGCTCACAGTCCTACGAACATGGGGTTTTGCATTACGTCGTAGGCAGACGTTACAGGAAGTAGATCGGCGGGGTGGTAGTAGAACCCTAGGCCTGTTGTGGAGCGCGCGTCAATTGATGCGTTTCTTTTGGCGCTCGCTCGACCTATACATCCTATTACAGCTTTATCCTCGTCCGGCAACAAATATTAGAATCTAACATAACTCGTCATCGCAAACCGCTCCATTATGCAGGCTATGGTGCTCCTGAATGGCTCGATGACCTGCTACACGAGCTGGATGCCCGCCAGTCGCAACGCTCGTCCGGCTACTCGCAGCAGCAGCAGGGTGGGTACCAGCAGGCCCCCGATCAGTACGTGGAGGACAAGAGGGCGGCTGAGATGGCCAAGTGGGACTCGCTCCGCAGCAATCCAGAGCTCTGGTGGGTGGTTACTGCAAGAATGCTAAGTTATTGCCTTGAGCTTCTTTGGTGGCACTGCTGACGCGAAAGGGTTTTTAATGGTTTTAAATGGTTGCAGCGCCGCGAGGGAGTGTAATGGGTCTGCGGGTCGAGCCCGGGTACCCTTGTTGGGTCGCATTGGATTGAATTGGTCGTCACCTGGAGGCATCAAGCTCAATCCATGGCTGCAATGTTTTCACTGTTATCTATTTTTCACGGCAACAGGTTTGACAACCGCCGTACCAAGACCAACCCTAAGGCCCCGGATTTCAAGCTCAAGAGCGATCGTTCGGTGGCGCTCTGGCTAAGCAGTGAGTCACGTAGAGATTCATGGTCTACGACAACGTACCGCATTGCCGAGCTAGGAATAGTGCTATATTGTTTGGTTCATACATGTGACGTGATGAAGAGGTCACGATAGGACAGGCTGTGCATGGGCCCCATGCATACTTCCTCGAACTTCTGGAGTCGCGACGGTTGACCTGCCGCTTTCAATGGAAAAGACCGTCAGGCCAATCCTAGGAACAGCCTGATTTGGTTTCGGCATCACTGCCTTCTCCCGTCTACTCCATGAAATTCAACTTTCCTGTCCCACCTAAAGAGAAACAAATCCGGCGGACTTGTATGGTTCGATACAGGCAGATAATAAGCTAAAGAACTGAACAACCTGACTGAACACTATCTTTCCACTGCAAACCTGTGTAGGCTACCAGCTACCCGACTACCTCGACGACCTGCTGGCGGAGCTGGACGCCCGGTACGATCAGCGCATGAATGGTCAGCAGCAGTACTACCAGCAGCAGCAGGACTACCAGCCCTACCCGGAGCAGCAGCAGGGCTACGCGGACTACCAGCAACAACAGCAGCCGCAGCAATCCTACCAGCAGTCCGACTCGCGGGAAGCTAAGATTGCCCAGGAGCAGGCCAACTGGGAGTCGTTGAGGAACAACCCTGAGCAGTGGTGAGGTGCTTTTTACATGTGATGGTTTCTGTCGGAAAGGGACTGGAACAGAACGGAAATGTTGGGAAAATGCTAGTGTTGCGGGGTATGTTGTCGACTTTAGGTTTTTCAGCCGCGACGCGGCGCGCGCGCGCATTATTTAGCGATTCGAAGGCGGACATGTTTGATTTTGGGTTTGACGCTTGAACACCTGTCCTGCACCAGGTTCGATAACCGCTACACCAAGCAGAACCCCAAGGCACCGGATTTCAGGAATAAGGACGACCGCTCCTTGGTTCTTTGGCTCACCAGTAAGTGTGGCCTTGTTAAATGGAGAGTTGGATGAAAAGAGACTCGAGTGACCAGGAGGGGACGTACATGCTGTTTATGTACTTTCCAAGCATTCCCGGCGGCCCAGGCCGCGGCCACCCCATCGGTTTGGATGACGGCTGGAAGCAGTCTTCAGGTCACTGGTGTGGCTTGGCGTGACACTGCAGCATGCGCGATCGCTATCGTGCTGCGGCTCTTGCCCGTTATCTTTGCAAAAAAATAGCACTCGGTACTTGGTTCCTTGACTCGGCCTAAATTAGGAATATCCCCAACTTGCAATCGCCCGCTGTCCCCAGGCCGGTCGGCTCCCGAGTGGATCAACGAGCTGCTGCCTGAGTTGGACGCCAGGTATCAGCAGCGTGAGGCGTCACGGGCCTCCAACAGTGGCTACGGCGCCGCCCAGGAGGCCGTGTACTGAGCAGGTCCGCCCGGGTCCCGGAACCCCTTGGTGTTGTTACAAGGCGAGGTGGTGATATGATATAATCCCTGAAATACTCATGAGATGGAGGATCAGGCAATGCCTGTTTATTCCATTTCAACATTTCCTTGGATATTGCAGTGTCTGTGACTTACGCCTGCTGTCTCGCTACTTCGTTGCCTCACCGTTCGGTAGGGGCGGCCTAGGCTGTGCGCTGCGATTTGGTCCCGGCAGCGTCCCTCCTTAACAACGTGGGTCGCCTTAGCAAAGTGCCTGCCACGAATGCTTAGCTGGGAAGACGTTGGATAAACAGCGTAATTGGCGCTGCTGGCGAAATATATGTATACTTTGGATATGGCAGCAGTTTTGAGCATCTCACAGATCGTCATAGCTGGAAGTTACCGTTTGAAGCAATGCGCCAGGGAGAGGAGAAGGCTTCGAGCAAAGTAGAAGTGTCGGAGCCTGGCCCTTTGGCAACGCTGTCCAAACATAGTGGCAGTGGGGTGCGTCTGTGTGGATGTTTTTCGCGACCAAGATGTGCAAACGATGGGTATCTTGTGCTGCACCAAGGACATGTGGCTGCAAAAGAAGACAATAGCACTTTTGCAAGCTGGCAAAATGTTAGTCGGTCTGTCTTGTTTGCTTGACTCGGTTCGCTGCAAGGGTGCAGATTGGTGATGGTTCGTGTTCGTAGGTTGCGTAAAGATGTGTCGTTCAATTGTGTCCTATATCTTTTTAATATCACACTTTACTGGTTTGCCGGGGTTATTCACTTTGGATGCGTCGATTATGTGCGGTACTCGTGGTCCTCTGCCCATTAGCTCGGAAAACCGTTGTAACGGAAGAATCGTCGAAACAAACACGTGACGTGGCTGACTTGGGCATGCACTAAGGACTGGCGTAAGGATAGCGACCAAAGTGCCAAGAGGAGATGCACTTACGTGGGTGGTTTTACTCTCAAAGAGAAAGTTTCAAATAAACAGGTTTATTTGTGCGGCGTTGTCACGTTAGCAAAATACCGGATCTTGACACCTTGCCAGCTACCACAGAAAAGTCACTACGCATTACCAGCCTAGGGCGGGGATGCAGTAGCCGTCTGCACGCCCTTGTATGGAGATAATGCAATCTCTTGAGGTATAACATGTGCTAGCAGTCCGCACTGTAGGTTTGGCCTAGATCCGTGCCGTGCACCAAATGAAGCATGTAATTACGACAATACTGACCCCAGTTTCAAAGTCTTGACTTCCTCTTGACGTTAGCCTTTAAGGAATCCAACTGCGCTTAGGATCTAATCCAATGTCAGACAGTTACAAGTTGACAAAAATTACCCGGACCTGTGCTCGTTTTCCTTGCTTCAGGATCTTATCCCCACCCGAGGAGTCCTCTCAGGGATCAGGAATCAGTCATACAGATACAGAAAAGCACAAACGTAGAGTTCATAATGCTACAATGAACGACAGCCCTACAATTTGATGTACCGTTGTCACACGGCAACCGGAAGACCACACCCCGTCCGGTGTCAGAGGGGTGTCTCACAGTCAGGGCACACTTCAGATTCGCGTTTATTATCCCTTGTGCTGATGAAGCACGAAATCATGCACTACATGACATGACATCCTTCAACGACCATCCCTTGGTAAACAGCACGCCATTGAAATGTCCATACAGCGGGGTTCAGCAGCCCATCTGACTTTTCAGGCGAAGCAAAAAGACGGGCTGTACAAATCCCTGGTCGAGCACTGTACGTCCCGGCTACGATGCACTCCGCCTCCCTTGCTGTCCAAACTGCTTTCCGGCAGCAATTTTTGTCTTCACACATACATGTCGGTAGCGCTCCCGCCAATCCAAGGCACGGTGAGGGAACCGAATATCATCCGAAGCCAAACCGAAACCACCCGGGCCATATTGCTGATTGGAGCTGCCTGACCCGCGCCTTCGCACAGGCCACCCGAGAATCTTAGCACAGCATCATCATCCCAGGGTGCCTCACATGGCTTGCTATTACTACTTTACCCCACAAACCACAGTCGAACGCTCTTGTCAGCGCGCGCGATTAACAATTGCTGCGGTCCCAAGCCCCATGGAGTCCACATGCGCCTCAACCTAAAATCGCGCTACCACAAATTCGACCAGGGACCCATCTCAACGACTCGCCTATCACTCCATGCAATCTGCTGAAGCGGCATGCGGTTATTACGGATGCCGCCATGTGTTACGTGCGCCAGCTGACCTTGGCCTTGCTCTTCCAGTCAGAGTCAGCTGCGGAGTAGTTCCCGTACTTGGCCGCCATTTTGCTACGCACCTTGTCATACGCACGCTCGCCCATGGTCTGCAGTCGCGGTTGCAGAGAAAGAGGAGCACGCAGACGCCCATGAAGGCCAAAGAGGGAGATAGAAAAATAGGTGTCGTCGCTGCCGTCGTGCAAGATGCAACTGCTTTCCGCATGACATGATGAAGGGAAATGGCACAAGAAGTCCCATGTGTCCCGTCTGTATGGTCTTCCTTCACCAGCCACAGTGGTTTTCACGTTCCACTCTCGCGCGTCATGCATCGACCTAATCGTGCGTTGCGGTAGTCTCCGCGGCCTCTGTACGCCACATCTTTATTAATTAAGATATATATAAACTTCAGTACCTCTGTACCCTCTAGCACTCGAAACATGAAAGCGCAATTGCAGGCAAAATGGTATACGATCCTAGCCGAGACGTGCGCGTTGGCATTGCTTCGATCCAGATCGGGTGCTGCTCCAGATGTTATCATTACCTCCCCATGTGGACAACAGGCCAGGAGGAGATTACCTACCTAAAGAGGAAGTTCAAAACCACCACCCACATGCAGCAGCAGATGATATAAGAACGAGCTTTGAAGGGTCTGCATTGCCTTTGGTCACTCCCAATGCAGCATTGCATACATGCTACCAGTAGTGCCATATACATAGGTTAGGCACTACTGGTAGAGCACACACCAATGCCCCCGGAGGTTCCGGGATCGAGACCTGTTAGAATTGAAAATCCTTCCGATGGTGGAAGGTAAATGTGCCCATAGTTAATGGACGGTGGTGACCTTATATAATAGTTGACTAGGGTTACTAGATGAGGGTGCCCCGAAAAACCGGGGAAGGCAGGGTCTGCCGGGTAGCGTCCCCAGGGTGAAGATATGGACCCCCCTTGCCGCACACATCACACATCATACAACTGAACACAAATCCAACTAGCGCACCGCACCGCTCCGTTGCTATTTACCTTTGATTTACTTGCAAACTTCTCGATGTCGCGCGCCAAACTGGTCAGCGTGTTGGTGCGCTGTTCTGCCGATTCCGGGTCGAAACTATTATACGGCTGCTCCTCTTTGATCACGAAGCGCAGGAGCACCGCCATGGTGAGGGTAAACATCTCAACAATGACGAATCCGAGTGCCACCCACCGTGCAGTGCTCAACTGCTTTGCAACTGCGTTAACACACAAGAATGCAAAGGGAGCGTATCAGCTGCGGTGACGCCCCCCTGCCGTTTTGCTGTCATTGCAACACTGGAGAGCCCACATGGGTTTGCAGGCGCGAAATGAAACCTAGCATGCATGACAGCATGTGTGCGCTAAGGAGGCACCCTAGAACCGCAGTAAACCCAGATAAGATACATCTGCGGAGGGAGGTGGTTATGGCGGTGAGTTCATCAACGTATTGTAACGCGTGCGCCACGTCGCCATTATGTAGACCAATTAGCATGAGGTCAGCCACTCACCCTGATCGTACTTGGCTTTATTGGATCGTGGCTCGATCTTCTCCACGACCGAGTCAAAGGCGAAAAGGAGTGCCAGGATGAGGCCAACCTGAAGCAGAGTCGAGAAGCCGCCGCAGGCTAGGAATCCCACCAACACGCGCTTCTGGAGGGGGACGTGAAGAGCGATGTCGGAAGGGCTGTGTCTTAACAATGTCGCCCGGAGTGCGGACCAAAGACACAGACATCTGAAGAAGCCATGACGATGTCTCGATAAAGATATGCACACGGCGCGCTGTACGGCCGCCACGTCTAGACTCCAGTGTAAGCAACCCATTCACAAGCCAGAAGCCCAACGGTGGCACCAGTTGTGCACGAGAGCCGGGCACGGGAGCCAGAAGCCAGTCCATAGGAACCCAAATGGGACGATCCTAAGCGCTTAACCGTGCTTATAGACAAAAGACTGTAGCTTAAGGGTGGAATCCCCAGAAAACCCACCTAGCCGGAGCCAACCCACCTTGTGATAGCTTCCCCAGAAGCCCAGGAGGGATGCGAAAAGATTCAGGGTACCTAAAATCACAAACTGCAGGGCGATGGGGGGCCCCAAGGAGTTTAGCTCTGCGGACTGCAGAAGCGCAGATGGAGCTGGATATGGAAGATTTGCTGTGCCCAGGGCACCTGGAGCGCTCCCGCGCAAGTATTCCACTGTGATGAAGGCCCAGATCTATTCCCCCCAACTAGCATGCATCCCAGCCAGTGGCCCACCAGGCACGCACCATCACGGGGGCAAAGTCCTTCGGTGGGTTCTGCACCTTGCAGCCGAAAACGATCAAAACAATTCCAATGACAACATTGAAAAAGATTGCTATGCGCATTGATATGCCAGATGCTCGGGAACAGCTGCACTCCATGGTTGGCAAACGCGGCTGGGCACCTGCGCGAAGATGTTTCCTTGCTGAGCCGATCGATGACGGCCATCATCACGGTGCTCACCACGTCACTGCAAGTCGTGCCTGAAAAGCGCTATATGTCCACAGCGAACCTCGGGCCTTCTTGAACCCTCACGCCTGTGTTACGTTTGACGTTTTGACTTCTCTACGAAATGACCAAAGGCAGGCACAGCATAAGAAGATATCTTGACATATTATACAAAGTCAAAATAAGGTCCTGTTTCCAGAATCCCACATCTATTCTAACTACAGAAGTGAAATCACGGTGCTGATGGTCACAATTGGTAGGCAGGCTCAGATAATTTGGTAGTAGTGATCTGAAGTGATAACAGAAGCTGCATGGTAATTCAGTTGAGCTTCTGCCCCTACCATCATGTCGTACACGCTCAAACAAGATGTAAGCATGTTACTACTTTGCAGCGTGCACCGTGTTGAGCCATTCAGGAAGCTTTACCACCGCGTAAGATTTTCCAGTTCTTAATTCCACTCCTTTGGCGATAACTTCCATGTTTCATTTGCGTTCCGGCCATACAACCCCAACACCCAACACATAACGCCCAACTGTTCATCCCGTACACCTATCCTGGATTGCGTGTTGCTGCTGCAAGATGGTGCACTGCACAACATCGCTATCGCAGGTGCCCGTCTACGACAAGCTGTACTCAGATAGCACCGCGCAGCTATCCAGCACAGCGCTACCAGTTAGCGCTTTTAGTGGACTGCACAAATCATGATCCACCTGAGTGACCGCACAGCTGTGTGAAGCTGCCGGGCCGACAACTATGCCACAAGCCCGTCGGGACACGTGCCCTCTCGGCGTCGCAGCCCCAGGCATTGCAAGTACGGGTCGATTAGTGGAACTCAAGCTCATCATATCAGGGTTGCAGTTTGGTAATTCGCTTCAGCCAGTAGCGCAGCTGGCAGAAGGAGAGCGGGGATCGCGCCGTGCGCTTCCTGAGCCTAACTAAGAAGAGGAAGCGAGATTGGGCAAGTAGCTAGAAGACGGCATGTGCCTGATGCTGTGATGCATGAGTTCAATACGACGAGCTCTGACGGGGTCACGATGCAGGACGGCATATCCAGCAGCACAGGCAACGGTGGAAGCTTGAAGACCAGGGTTTCTTTTCCCCTTCACCTCTTCGCCCCTCACGAAGCCTCTTGCTGTATGTACTCGTAGGAACTACGGATGTCTTTTGACGTCTCTGGCAGCCACGGAGGGGATTTCTTTCGTTATGCATGCCGCCATGCTTCCACCATGCAGTACGGAGTACATCAGTAGTTCATCTTTCGCATATCACACTGATGGTTTTATCCAAATGGTGCAGACAGTGGGTCTCGACAAAGGGGAATGCTATCCAGTATTACGACCCTGGTGCATAAACCTATCAGTCCTGGGCAGTCCAAGTGCCAAGGACTGTGCACTCCTCCATTTCTATCCTTAACCCGTTCCATAAGCTTTGACTCAAGATCTGTCCAAGTTGGATGAACTCATCGCAATTATCTCAGAATCCTGCGTCGAACAAGGAATAGCTCCTGACAGCGGCAGCGCCGTAGTTATTAAGCAGACCTAAAGGTTACTTTTATGCATTTTTTCTCCATGCCATGTAGGCAAGGCCACGGCCTGATCTCTAAGGCTTGCCAATTTGAGTCGTAACGCTGCAACCATGCACACATTTCCAAATGTTACTAAAGGACGTGGAAGGAAATGGATTCTATACACATTGCTACCCATGGGCCAGCGCGGAACAAACGTTTAGAAAAGTGGCATTACCGTATTCGGTGAAGGAAAACACTTATTTATTCAGGGACAACAAGTGCACATAATACATGAATCTTTAAGTCATATACGAGGTGGATGATACGTGTTGGGGCTTCTTGTTTGTAACAGTCTGCAGTGGGCCCTATGCTTCATAACCACAGGGAAGCAGCCCAGCCGGGCAACATCCAGGCAGAAACTAGTGCACGTTTACTTGCTTATATTTACTCCTCATTCTGATGGCATGTTTCCACACATTTGCAAAGGCTTCGTGTAGGACTTAGCTTTTCCAGACTTAGCTAGAGGGCATAGAAGTATGCAGCGTATTCGTTATAGAACATATGATAATTCTTCAACAAAAACGCTTGGAAAAAGTTGACAATCGGCTTTGGAAAGGAAGGGTGCATGGTCATGCGGGGCGAGGGACACCGCAAACAGCTCTCAAATTGCTTGATTTTGGAGGCAAAGTATATTGCATTCAACGGTGAGACTGTCCCCGTTATGTGGCACTCTTCCTTTTTGCCCAAGCTGCGCCTTGAAATGCCATTTACGCATACCTCGGCAAAAGCCAAGGTCTTCAGCTCCACGAGGGCACAAACTCGCATGGGATCAATATGTGTGATTGAATACCGTGATAATTTCAGTCCTGCCCTTTGGAAAACGCCACGCCGGACTCACGGCTCTCGTTGTACTGCACGCATCCTTCCCCAAACGAGGCCCCCAGTACATTTAAGCCTCCCTTCCTGCCCATCCAGTTCTCCTGACACCATCTATTACCACCCCCCCCTGCTTCCCATGCCCAACTTCTAGCCTTCAAGTACTTTAGCCTCATGGGGGCTCGCTCTCCCACAGCGCGCGCCTGACGATGCGCCCGGCAGCCAGCCCGGGCGGCGCCGTCAACCGCGGCGCCAATGCTGCTGCTGCCTCAACCGGCGGCGGCGATGGCACCGGCTTCCCGGCCCTCCCGGACCCCGGCGAAGTCATGCTGCCGCCGGCCCCTCCCGACGATCTGCCTGTCTTGAAGCTCCTACAACAGGGGGATCTCTTCGGGCCGGGCCGGGGCGCCGCCGCCAGCACCGCCGGGGGCAGCAGTGTGGGGTTTCGCAATGGCGAGGAGGTGCCGCTGCTGATACCCTTGGTGAACGGAGCAGTCACCAACATGTAGGTGCCCTCCCCGGCCCATGGAAAGGGACGGGCTGCAGGATGAAGGGGAGCAGGGGTACGGATTCCACCACCACTCGTATCCACCAGCCGGGGCCAGACCACTTCATCGTGGTAGTAGACGGGAATCCGAGACCATACGACGTGTGTGCGCTTCCCCACTCCCGCGCCGAAGGGAGCCCCGGGCTAGCTACTGAGGGGGGAGGGGGGAGGGGGGAGGGCACAGCATTGAGCTTGTGGAAGGTGGAGGAGGTGGGAATGAGATGCTACGAGCCATGGGTGAAGGGGAGGGGGCCCGGGAACCGGGGGCCCAACCTACTTGAGGGGTTACCGGAGGTGTCTTGGACTCCCCTAAGTCAATAACCCGACGAAGGTTGAAACCCTAGATCTGACGGAATGAGATCTCGATTCCGACTGGGGTTGCATTGCAGAAACTTCGATGAGTCGTACGGGCAGCCGCAGGAGGCTCTCATAGAGCGGTACCTGACGCTCATGGGCTTGGCGCCGCAGCTGGCAGCGGCAGCGGAGGCGGCTGCGGCGCCGCAGCCCCCCGGTACTGCGGCCGCGGCTGACGGCGGCGGCGGCGGAACCGGCGCCAAGGAGTCGGCGGCAGGCGCCGCCGCAACCACGGGGTACGGCTCCTGGGTCGGCGGCAAACGTGCCGCCGCCGCTGGCCCCATCCGATCGCATGCTGCCGCCGGTCCCGTCAACGCCGCCGCCGCCGCCGCCGCGGCAGCCCCGCTCGCCTCAGCTGACCCCAGGCAGGGGGAACGGGAAGTCAACGAGGCAGCGGCGCACGACACAGATGCAGACGCCGATAGCGAAGCCGCCGACGATGATGATTTACTATTGTCCGTACAACGCCCCCGGCGGCGGCCGCCGCCGCCGCCATCCCCTGGTACGACACCGGCGATAACAGCGCTGGGCTTGGACCGTTTGACGTTACATCGCCGGGGTATACCGGAAGCCCTCATTGGGGCCCTGCATCGGGGTTTGGCGGCCACCGCCTCGGCATTCTTCCGTACGTGCCTGGCGGAGCAGCGGCGGTTGGTGGCACTGACCCATGGGTCGGGCCCCGAGGTGCCGCTGGCCGATCGTCTGTTATCATTCATCACGGGCACGGAGGCGCAGCTCAAGGTGGGGCCATGATACACGGGAAGGGGTAGACGGGTCAAGTGCCCTCCTCGTCCCGGGCGCCTCGGGCACCTCGGGGGATTGAGAGGGGGGGACGCGGGGGAAAAGGGGGGGAAAGGGGGGAAAGAGAGCGAGAGGGCGCTGTGAGGTGGGCTAGGGTGTTTTTCATGGCAGTAGGTGGCCGTAAGGCGCTGGTTGATGGAGGGCCAACGTGGCAGGGAAGGAGGAAAGGAAGGATGGAGCGAGGGGGTATCGGACGAAGGGACCCTGTGGGGAGGGACCCATAAGCACACACTTATATATGCAACACGCAATGCAAGTGCGACCTCCTATGGGATGAGCTTTCGCTCATTGGCCGTGTGGCCGTGTCAACACGCATACGCACCTACGCGCACGCTCATACACACGCGTGTCACCCGCCCCTCTGGGCCCTGGTTTCCCCGCCCTCCCCGCGTCTCCCCTCCTTCAGAACGGCTCCTCCACACCCGAGCTTGTGGACCTACGAGCAGTACGAGATAACCAGGTGGATTGTGTGTGTGTGTTGTGGGAAGGGGAGGGGAGAGAGCGGGGGGATTACATGTTTATGCAAAAGGAATCTGGGAAACAACTGCCGGCTTGTGTGGAAGGGGGAAAGAGGGGGATGAGGTGGGTTGAGGGGTGTTGGGGAGGAGCTTGTGTATTTGGGGGGCATTGGAAGGGGACTTAGAGGGCGTCAGGGGGTTGGCACAGGAAGGGTCTGGGGAGGCTCAAAAAATGTGGGGGATGGAGGCGTTCAGCTTACGGCCCCGAGACCGTCACGGACCTGGGAGCCGGAGGGGAAGAGTCAGGGTTAGAAAACACACGGACACGGACACGGCAGGACGGCTGCTGTAAGCCGCTGAGTCAGGACCCCCTCCCTCCCTCCCGCCCTCCCGCCCTCCCCGTGCCGCCCACTTGACTGACGCCCCCCCCCCAGGCCATCTTAGACGCCGTGTCCCCCCCGCGACCCGGCGACCCCATTCCCTTCTACCACGAGCTACTACACAAGCGACAACAACAACAAGAACAAGAGCAAGATCAAAAGCAAGGACAGCCAAAGCAGTCATCATCTTCGGCGCCTCCAGGCCCCAGTGCTATCTGGCCGACTGTCGGGGAGGTGCAGATGGAGGGGGAGGGGGAGGGGGGGTTGGAGACAGCCCCCCTGGAGCAGCTGCTGGATCTGGACAAGGTGGGAACTGATGATGGCCGATGATACACCGTGTGTTTGTGTGTGTTTGTGTGTGTCGTACCTTCACTCCCCACACGCGCCGCACCCCTTTACCCTACACCGGCAGTTGTTTTCCTTGGGCTTTTCCCTCGGCATGTTTTTCCCCCCTTACCTCCGAGGCCCCTCCCCTCCCCCTCCCCTCCCCCCGCAGGTCGCCGCCCTGGCCACCGCGGGCAACGTCCCCGGCCTCCGCGCCCTCCTGCGCAGCTTGGTGGCCGCCGCCGACTACACGCGGACCTCCCTTCTCGCCAGGTTGCGGGCGGAGGTGGAGCGGGCGCAGAGGGAGGGGGAGCGGGCGGCGGAGGCCAAGAAGGCGGAGAACAAGCTCAGGGAGCAGCTGGCGGCAAGAAACGTGTAAGTGGGAGAAGGGGGGGGATTCCCGGCGGGGTAAGGGTAGGGTGGTTGGGGAATATGGAGGAGGGGGGGGGGAGGTGGTACGAGGATTGTTTCCCCTGTGTTTGACAACCGCCTGCCCGCTTCCCCCGTGCCGCTCTGGCCCTTCGTGTGTTTTACTCCGTGCCTCCACCTCGTACCCCCGTCTTGCCTTACATGCATACATACACACATACATACAAACAAACTCTCTCTCTCTCTTTCTCTCTGGGATGTTCCGAATTCCTCCTTGTTTTCCGCCTTCAGCCCCATGAGAACGAAATTCGCTCCTCACCGCCCCCCCCCTCGTCCCCTCTTGCTGATTTCCACCCACCCCCTCCAGTGCCCTGGCTGAGCGGGGTGTGGAGCTGGAGGCCGCATGTCGCCGAGCCACCGCGGCGGAGGAGGCCTTGGTTACGGAGCGGGCCATCGTGTCGGGACTGCGGGGGCAGCTGCGGCAGCTGACAGCCGACTACGAGGCGCAACATCGGGAGCTCCGGGTGCGGCTGGAGGGGCTGGGGAGGGTGGAAAAAGGGTTGTACGGGAGGGGTTGTACGGGAGAGGTTACACGGGTGGGAGGAAAAGGTGGGATGGGGTGTGTGGTTATTATACGTGGCGTCCGTCTGTTTCTTTCTTTCCGGTTAGGGCTCTTGTACCCACCCTCCCCTCCCCTGGCGGGTGGGGGGAAATTCCGGGGGAACATTCGTCTGGATCCAAACCCATACTGCGTATGCCGTACTCCCACATTCATTCTGTACACCCCCCCCCGCACCCCTCACTCCGCGTCTATAGGCGGGTCTGGAGGCGCACCTCACGCGGCCCGCCAGCGCCAAGCTCCTCCAGGGATCTCACAACAACAGCCACTCCTCCTCCTCCTCCTCCTCCTCCTCCCACCACCGTCACCACGGCCACCACGGCCACCGCCACGGCCATCATGCTCCCGCCGCCGCCACCGCCGCCTCCAACGCCAATGCCGACGATGCTGCCGAGCTCCATGCCCTGGGTTCGGAGCTCGCTACTGCCCGTGCTGAGCTGGCGCTGTCTGAGATGACGTGTCAGCAGGAGCGCGCCAAAGGCCGGCAGTTGAAGGTTATGCTGGATACGGCACGCGGTACGGTAGACATGCATGCGAGCCGGGCGGCGGCGGCGGCGGCGGAGGTGGAGCGGTTGGGGCGGCTGGTGGCGGCGTCTGAGGACCTGGCCAATGCCTCCTCGGTACGGAAACCTTGGCAGCTAGTTGGGGTCAAGGGTTACAGGGGGAATAAATGCTTGAGCCACGGATAAGTCACCAAGGGGATTGGGGGTTTGGTTTCCTGTAACCCGGTGGTTGCCATGTCATGTTGTGTCGTGTCGTGTCGTGTCGTGTGTGTATTTTCTTCTTCTTGCAACCGGGGGGGAGGAAGGGGGTAGGGCGGAGTCGAAGGGAAGGCCAACAGGGATGCCTATTGTGTTGGCCATGCCGCCACCGTACATTGTACACCGTACACCGTCAATGGTTCACTTTCTGTGTTTTCTGTATGTATGTGTGTTTCAGGGCGGTATGGCCATGTTGGAGCAGCAGCTGGCGCAGGAGAAGGCGGCGCACAGGAGAACACTGGGTGAGCGGTGGTTGGGGTGGTTGGGGAGGGAAGTACGGAGGTGGGGAAATACCTCACAGAGTCGCAAAGCTGATGGGGCCATGAACCTCCGGCACGTCCCCCCCCCACACACACACCACCACCACCACTAACCCTACCCTCCCACCACCTCGGCGGCTGCAGAGCGGCTCCAGGCGACCTCTTGGAAGGTGGAGCAGGCCCGTACGGCTGTCGTAGATGTACGAGCAAGAGCGGGGCACAACCTGAGGAAGCTGCAGGTGGGTCAGCGGGGGGTCTGGATCCCGTTGGTTTACTACACCCGCCACACCACCAGTCGCCTGGTAATGGATATCATCAAAAGCTCTTCCAGTTAGTTCCAAACCATGTGTGTGTTTGTTACATGGTCGTGGGCCTGGGCTCAAAGCGTGGGAAATCCATATCAGATATGATTTTGTCTTACAACGGACAGTCCAGCAAGACGTGCTTCTCATCTTCGATATTGGTATCCGTGCCGCAGCATACTCGCTCCCCCCTAGGTATGCAACGCCGTCCCTTGCACCCTCTGTTAGCAGCCAACGCCCAACAGCAAAGCCTAAGCTGCATAAGCTTGCGATTTTCGCTGAACGCGGGCTAAACGTTGTGATATGCGGGGGCACCTCCTTCCTGACCGCTTTTGCTCAGCTGCCAGACCCATCCAAGGCTTATATCTCGCCATGTGGATTCCTGGTTGCTGGGTACCCTCTGACGGGTACACGTCTGGCTGGACATCTAGACGCGTATGCTTCCAACCGCTCACCAACCGATCCTTGAACTCCAATACCGCACCTTCCGCCGATGACCTGTTCGCTAGCTATTCCACTCGTTCGTCTACCTCATGTAGCCTTTGCTGGGCCTCTTTCCATTCTTCGTGCCCCGGAAAACTCGGAAAACGGAGGGCGAGTGACCCCCATCCGTCCCCTTCGAGGTTGGAGAGGGCCTCTACGATCTCCTGTCGCAAAACTTGGTGTTCCTCAGACCCACGATGTAAACAGACACGGTTCCAAACCTCTCAATCTGCTTGAAAACGTGGTCGTATAGAGGTAGCTACCTACAATTCAACGAACAGGAGACGACATGTGTCATTCCAATATTACATTACATTATTATCACTACTACTATTAGGATTTTTGTTGTGAGCTACATAATAATGAAGGTGTGAAAAGGTGTAAGTATCCTTGTGCCGGCATCCCCCCTCTTAACTTCTGTCACCCCCTAAAGCCCACCTTCCTGAACTCCCGTCCCGTCCCCTACCGCCCCTCTCCCCCCCTACCCCCCCCCCGCAGACCGCGCTCGCTGATGTGAACCTGCGGGCCGTGTCCGCTGAGCGACAGTTGGCGGATGCGACTGTGGAACTCCGACACACCCGGAGCGAGTTGGAGGGGGCGAATAACAGCTTGGAGGTGGGGGTGGGGGGTGGGGTGGGTGCGGGGGGAGTATGGGGGAGAGTGGGAAGGTGGGGGGAGTATAGGGGAGGTGAGGGGGGTTGAAGGGATGAGGAGGAAGAATGGGGAAGCGTGGTGACATCTGCAGCACTCAGTTCGCGTGGCTCGTGTTTTCAAGGAAGCCCCCTCGCCGCATACATGAAGACATACATACGTACGCACAACACGCACATATGCAGACGTTTACGCTAGCCGCATGTATTGTACAGGCGCTCCGAGACCGTACGACAAGGTTGGAGGAGGACATGGCGTTGCTGCGTACGGATGCCGTCACCGCCAAGGTGGACGTCAAGGAGCTGTCGGAGAAGCTCCGGGAGACGGAGGTGCG